TCGCGGTGGAGGGAGTTTTTTCAAAAAAGAAAAAAAGGGGGAACCCAGAATTTCCTGTAATTTAATCATTAAAGTGTTGAGTTCCAAAAAACGAGAGAAAAATCCTGATGGATTTACAGCGTTCTTGCTTAGCACGGTAGCATAGATTATGGTGCCGAATTGCAATCCTCGATTTTTAATAGTGCACCCTGAATACGCCGTGACCTTAAAGAATCGTGTGGATTTCAGGAAATCGGACAACCGGAGACGCTGCTCGACTCACCCAGGTACGGTTTGCAAAATGACAGTAGACCTGGCATGATGACATGTGGTCGGTGAGGCTGTAACCCTGGTCAACATGCAAGACCACGCGGTCATAGAAACGAGAGTAACTAGCCCGGAGAAGGAGAGAGTGTCTCAGTAACTCGGGATTGAAAGTGAATTCTAGCTTTGCAACTTTGCTTCAGCCTCCGGGATGAGTTATAGTCCGGCAGACCGGTCAGTGGTCACCTACGGAAGAGGATGGAGACAGGGGCGATCTCCGTTAAAGCGACTCAGCGAGGAAAGTAAAAGAAATATCGAAGGCAAAGAAATTGGAATGGGAACATTCAACATCGCTGGGAATATGCTATCGGAACTGGTTTGAGGATATGCCTGCGATAAGGAAGGCGGTAAAAAATAGAAATTCAGTTATGATACTTGTATTCTATGAGAAGTCTGATGCTTCAAGTCTTCTTTTGTATTTATTTTCTCCGTTTTTTGCGATCTTAAATTAAGAAATTTACCAATTTTCAATGGCGTAAGATTATACAAGGTAGAATAATTTTATTTATTTCTTAATTTTTTTTTTTCTGTTTAATTCATCCTCTATAACTGGGGAATTGTGGAAACTTGTTTTTGCAGCTAAACCGTTTTTGGGGTGATCAAAGAATGAACCACCCGATGGGATGAGTTTAGCGTAGTAAAACGATGAAACTTTTTTTAATTAAAATGAAGATTTATTTGTGTGATTAATTAAGTCAAATTTAATATTGTCTGGCTGCATTTTTTTCTTTTACGTGTTGTTAATTTTTGTAAAGAAATTTTCCATCATTTGTCAAGATATTCTGAAATTTTGTTAACAGAACCTGCGTTAAATTGTTTGAATTTTTTTAAGCAGAGTAAGACTTACTTGGGATAGAAATGTCTCATTTTTGCTTTGAATTTAAGATTTTTCAAGAATATGAATTCTAAAATCGGTTAAAAGGGTGTGTAATATGATCATATTTTTAAATTTCAATCAGTAAAGTTGGTTATCATCTTAATCCCAACTTTCCAAAAGTAACAAAAGCTATTTTAAACTGCTAAGAGACGAGAGATGCAGTTTCCTAATGGAATAGAAGCTGCATGCCGACTATTCTCTACGGTAAAAAAAAAAAAAAAAAAAAAAAAAAAAAAAAAAAAAAAAAAAAAAAAAAAAAAAANAAAAAAAAAAAAAAAAAAAAACGGTAAAATTTCAGTCTATACCATAGCATTAAATTTGATAAGTAACGATTATTAGACCGTTCATGAAAATTGATTTGGTAAAATGATCGACTTTACTTGAAGACCTGTTTCTAACTAATCGGCTTGCTCGTTTGAATCGCCTTCAGACTCGACTAGTACAGATATGTATACAAAATTGCGTCCTGCGTGAATGGAGGCACCTTCAACAAGCAACTTGGTCCTCACTCTTGGTCTTGATGTGGATATAACAACGACACGAAACATGATCGGCGCGGCGCACAGTTTGCCTTCGTCGACTCCGATACAACTGTAGATGCGTATAGAAAATTGCAGAACTCTGAATTGAAGGCGCTTGCGGATCGAAATATTTCTTGTGAGGAATTCGTTTATTTTTCACCTTCAACTACCTTCGAACAGCCTACATATTCCCTTTTACAAGAAATATTTTCAATTTAAGACATATCTTGATGATATTAAGCTTGATTGAGACGTTAGACAATGTGCCCTAAAAAACGCGAGAGAACAGCGAGTCCTGTTCAAAATAATTTTCAGAACTTTTCATAGGTGGCTTCATACTTCATAAGAGTGAGCTTTTATCGCAACGTATGAGTAATTGTCTCCCTATTTTTTAAAACAATTATGAATCTCTTAACCTCAGTTTTGAAAATTCTGTTTATAAGTCTGTCTTATTTATAGTAAGAAATCTATTCACATGGCTGGAATCACAAGTTCAAAATTTAATGCTGTTTGATTCTGAGACTTTAAAACGGTCGTTTGGTCGTTTCTGGTTTTGGTTTATTGGAAATCAATGATAAGTCTGTTTATGAGCATGTAGTCCGGTCAATCTATCGATTTTCTGGGAAAATCAATAAGTTGAGGGTTTCTTTGCGGAAACAAGTCGAAATCGGCCACCAGAAGTCATATCAAAAGTTTACCAGAATCGGCTGTCCGCTAAGGCCGCCATCTAGAAAAATGGGGAAGGGGGGATACGCCGCCGGCGACCGGTTTTTCGCACACATCTAAAAAACAATTAATCCTACGGAAAAATTTCATGTACCTTATAGAAAGAGCACAACACTTCCTACTAGAAACACTATATGCATTTATTAATTAGTGACTTACAGTTTATGAGATGTTGCAGTAGTTCTCCGCGGCTGGGAAAGTCGCATTTTGCTTGAAATCGCGCTTTTCCCACGAAATCTTCAATTATCTTAAAAACGGAGAGTCAATGGGGAAAAATTGTTTTTACTGAATTATAAGAGCATAAACTTTCCAACAGGACAGTGCCTATTATTTTACTAAGGGGTCCGCCCCTAGATCGCAATGCGGTCAGACCCAATGACGGATGCTGTAAACACATAAGGAGTCCCGAGTCTCGACTTGGCCGCGTCATGCATTGTTGGCGTCAAAATGGAACGGGCATCACTTATTCTGATAGATTTACCAGTGAGATGAGCTATGTAATCTCTTTACGCATAATATACCTATTTCATTTCGTCAATCCTCTCAAATACAGTGCGTATTGTAGGTAATAATGACCAGCAGCTAAGAAGATAATGTTATTTTTTTGTTCAATACTAATTGACACACAACAAATCTCCCTTTCTCTGAGTTAGTGGAGGGAATACTGCACTTAAAGAATAACTAATATACTGAAAGGAAGATGAGCATTCGTTCGTGTATTGACCGAAGTTTTAGTTCAGTTTACAGCCAATTTTCCTTCGCCCTCTGCTTCCTCCTCAATCAAGGTTTTTATTTAATCACTAGTTATTCTTGCAAGCTCACAATTTCAGAGTAAGAGAGCCGTAAGTCTAATTTTGATTCAACGTTCAAAAAAAGACTATTTGCGATGTATATAAGGACACATTTATGCTAAAAGGAACTATAAGCATAGGGATTGCGTGTAACATAGTTCCTTTTAGCATAAATACGTCCATATAAACACAGGCCTAGCTGTATTTGCGATAAATATGATCTGGGTCTCATCGCTGCCATTATATTGTGTGAAATTACTTGCGAATTTCTCCTCCATGAGCTTCCATCACATTTTTTTCGTTCGCGATCATATCACTTAAAAATATAGTTAGGGATTCCGGAAGTTTTTCGTCAGTGCCAAATGATTTCCTCTTTGATTGTTGACTCTGTCATGCGCACGATCTTCAGTCGCTTATTTCCTTCTTTATCGCACTGTTTTGCATACCAGCTTTCTCGCGAAAACTTCTCTTTTCATTAGATTTAATCTAGTCAAATTTGTTATTAAGATGCGTTTGCCGAATATTTCGAGTAAATTTGACTTCAATGTCTTCTCTGAAGTATTTATGCTGGCTTTAGGCAATTCTTCCAATGAAAACTGATAATTACTATAGGTAGGTACGTTAAAACCATCTCTAATTCTTCATTCAAATTTACATTATCCGTTTCAGTTTGCCGCAAATCAGAATGAAATCCATGATGAAAATTATCAGTGCATTCTGAATGGTGCGTTGCTGCGTCAAGAACTGCGTCAGAACTATTTTCAACTCGTGTCTGTACCTGTTTTTAGCCTAATCCTCCTCAATATTGTCAATTTTTTTAAGAAATGTGGTTTTACATTCTTAGGTAAGAACTTATTTACTTGTTTGCGCAAATCTGCCCTCATTTCCTTTTCAAACTCTTAAGTGCAAATTTTTAATGGCAAAATAAACTCTGTCTCTTTGCGTCAAAATGTTCCTCCGATATAAGTCTCTTTTTCAAGGGAGAAAATTTACTCCCATTAGCTTCTGCTTCTTATTTTCATTTAATTTTCAATATTATTATTTATCTTTATTCAAATATTTTGTCTGCATTCTACATGAACCGTTTCATCAATTTTATCCAGCCATTCTTCAAATGTATCTCTCTTCTGTCACTACAGTTTCATTCAAATCTAATGCTGGATCATAGTTCCTAATTTTGCCAAAAATTGCGGCTCCCGGTCAACGCAAAACGCATATTAGCTCCTACAAGACTGCCGTAATACTTCACGCATTGCGCAAAACGTAGTGCGGTTGCCGGTCTCGGTGCGAATCGCATAGCGCCTACAAGACTACATGAATACTTCACGCATTGCGCCAAAAACAATGCGGTCGCCGGTCGGTGCGAATCGCATAGCGCCTACAAGAGTGGATGAATACTTCACGCATTGCGCCAAACACAGTGCGGTCGCTGGTCGCCGTAAAACGCATACGCAAACGAAAACCGTATGGTACAGAATGGAGATAATCCATATCTCACAAACTGGAAGTCACAAATTAATAAATGTATAGTGTTTCTAATAGGAAATGTTGTTCTCTTGGTACAAGATCCATGAAATTTTTCCGCAGGATTGATTGTCTTTGAGATATGATCGAGAAACCGGTTACCGGGGGCGACTTTCGGCCCCCGTCCCCATTTTTGAAGATGGTAGCCTCAGCGGACAGCCGATTCCGGTAAACTTTTGATATGTGTTCTGGCGATACAAAAGGTAAATTCATCTGAAACAGGGCCTACGATTATAGAATTACAGAAAATGTACGTACCTGATCTGAGTCCTGGTTCAGTTTTGATGGCTCGATTAGGGACAGGGAATGTTGATGATTCATTATTGTTACTACTACTACTACTACTTCCAACCGTCGGAGGTGAGGATAATTTTTCTGTAAACAAGCACGAGAGGCACATTTAAGAGGTTGTTCATTTTGTATCTAAAAATATTTTTCAATTAAATGAAATTTCGGCACGTTACTGCAGAAACCCGAATAATGGAGTATCTTTTCATCAAAAGAAAGTTGCTTTTCACCATTTCCTAGAAGTCCAAATGGACCACTAGACAAGGTACGGATTTGAGCATTCTGATACATGATTCTTAACCAGAATTTCACGTAAAACACGATTCGTGAAACGAATATTACTGAAACAAACTCCTAACGAAGATAATAACGTTTTTATTTCACATTGATTAGGGAGAATTTGAACTGCCGGCTCATAAGAAACTCAAACCTCTACGTGAGTCAAATCGCGCACTACAACGGTTTCAGCAAGCTTGTCGATCGAGCAATGTTCATTTCCCACAATGTGCTGTTCAAACCATAAGCAATCTGCTATAGCTGAGCCGAAGCGTCAGGATTGAGGTTGCCAGATTTTTATATCGCAGAGACTGTCATGATAACGTTCAGCGCGCGATGTGAATCACGTAGAACATTGAGTTTTCATGAGCGGGTGGTTTGAATTCACGCATCAAGACTCATTAAATATCTTCGTAAGGAGTTAATTTCGGTGATTTTCTTGTGCGCATCGTGTTTTACGTGAAATTTTGATTAAGAATCTTGTATCAGAGGGCTGAAATTCGTAGGTACCTTGTCTAGTGGTCCATTCTGGATTTATCTTCTAAAAATGTGTCTTTGATAGTTGACCTACTTTCAGTAGGATAATACGAAACATTCAGACTATACACATTGTTTTGAGTCGTTATTTTTCAAAGAGAATAAGCAAACAAATCTATAAGATATATTTTTCAAATTACAATGCGCTACTTTGATTTCTGAATTAAATGACCTATAATAATCAATATTATTGAACAACGCTCCTATTCATGTTCAGGTATGACTCGATCAATCGACGAATTTGTCACATTGTTTTGAAGAGGTCCATCCCATTCCAAAATTTGCTCTTTCAATAGGCGAATTTTCACGACTGAATGCGGTCGAGTTTTCTGACCGACTGCCAACCTCCATTACAGCAAAACGAAATTTGTGGACGTGGTGTGCCTACAACATTTGGATTGCATTTTGCAAAAAGGAACCAAGAGCATTTCAATGTCGCTAAGGTTGTGCAACTTTTTTTACCTTGTAAATATAAACTAACCATCTATACGAGTTTCATATTTATTCCAAATGAACTATAAATTTAAGACGAAAATTACCTTTGTCAATTTAATTTTTTGCATGATTTCAGTAATTTTACTGCGAAGAATGTGAGTTGCACAATCCTAGCAACAACAGCTCTTGGTTCCTTTTTGCAAAATGTAATCCATTTGATTATCAGCAATTAAATTATCCATTTGGGTATCAATTTGATGCTGACAGCAATGATGACCACATCCAAAATTCCCGACCCACCTCCTGAGGTGGTTCCAACAGTAGGTGGATGCTAACGTTGGCCAAAATTCATCAAGCAACTGACTTTTGTTCTTGACTTCAGTAGAGTGTTTTTCTCCTTTGGTTCGCAACACTGCTGATCTAGTTAAAAAAGTTGACCAAATCCCGCACGCGAAAATTCGCATAATGTCATCATGTTGCTTTTGAGTGGTAAGCACGAAAGTACGAATAATCGTGATGCAATGCAACAGAGTGAACTGTTTTTCAGTGATGTGGCGTGTTTTGCGATATATCGATTCATCGGCCATTTAAACCTATGGAAAAAGATCGCTATTTAGGATGTTCGCAACAAACACCGTAGCAATCGATTCTTTACCACAGCTTCAAATGGAGAAATATCGATAATCGATCATTGGCGCCTCGCCACTGTTGTCTTTGATTTTGCATTATCAATGTCTATTAGCACATTATGTCTAACAGTATTTAAAGGTGTACTGAGAAATTTCGTCCTGCAATCAGATAAACATATTTGTTTATAATATTTCAAGAACTAATTATCCTACTGTATTTGAAACTTATACCGAGGAAAGGAGGATACCAGTTAATTATGAGACATTTGAGGAACCTCACTCACACAAGAGTTGGTATTTTAATGTAAGTAGTCCACATCTGACATTGAATATTATTTGATTCACTTTAACCTGTCCCAATTCTGGGAATAGTAAAAATGTATCATCTGTAGCAGTTAGCATTGGGGTGCATTCAATCTTCGGCACATAATGTAAACCAAGAATTGTTAAGACCAGTTTTTTGCATTGAAACTCATTCGATTTTGTTTAGATCAGAGAGTTCAAATTTCCTTCAAGTGGCTGGATAGGCAACAATACATACGCGTGTGCGTTTCATCTACCTCTTGCGGCGATCTCTGATGATCTCGAGCAACTTTTATTGAGCATTCATTGGAGTTTTTAGTGGTCTTTTTTTTGGCCTGAATGGTTGCGTGTGAGGAGAATAGAATATAGTATATTCTTTACTCTACTCCTAGAGTATAGAATATAGTATATTCTAAACTCTACTCCTGGAGTATAGAAACAAAACTCCTCATAAGTTAATACTCTAGCCGAGAGCTTTGCAGTGCTTAGCGAATTGATAAAGGCTCGTTTGTATGTGATTTCCTCAAATTTTCGCGAAATAGGAAAAGGAAAAAGATGAACTCCTTCAATTTTCTACTTCAGACTTTCCCAATATATATTCTGGTTTCCATGCTTTCTTCGGCTCACGATTTGAAATACGTACCTGCTAATAGTGGATTTGCTGCTGCTATGTTGAACTTTCGACTTGATACGGAATTTCGTTGCAGCTCTTGCAGGTAGGCTGAAACTTGATTTTTGTTGTTTGAGCTAACGACACTGTTGTTATTTTCTTCCTGCAAAAGGTCAAAATACATGACTTATGACAAAAGTAATATATAGATTCGGCAGTCTTCTATTTTGACAGGCGACATTTAAATTTTAAAAATTCAAACGACATCCTTAAATTATCGGATTTAGGTGATTGGTAAGCACCAAACACCTTGCTAGGTAAAATAAATTTTACATACGAAATGTACCCCGAAAGTATCAGCGCTGATGTCATAACTTGAAACGAATGAGAACGCAGTCATGACGAGTGTATTTCTTGATTCACTCATTCCATTTGGACTGCATTAATGCTTTTAGAAACTGCAATATCTAACTCATCTTCCATCGAAACTGATAGCACGTATGTTGTTTCTAAAATAAGCCAGAAATTGTAGTTTCTAATTGGAAAATTTAGTCCACTTATTTGGCGTCGTCTTCCTGATTTCTTCAAATGGTCAACATATCGATGGCGAAACTTCAAAACCATGTATCTCGATTTGCAACGTTGCAGACCTCTTGCACATTCTATTATGGTCATGGAATACTACTCAACAATTGATTATTTAAAAATTTCGTGACTTTACTTCTGTATGCGAAGAAAATTCTGCGAAGCTTAAAGGAATCATGTTGATTCACCTCCCATCAAAAACAATAAAGGGGCGCGGAGATTTTGAAACACCGCAAACTAGATACGTGGTTTGGGAGTTTCACCGCCGCACAGTGGATCGAGTAAATTAAAGCGGTCGGACATATAATTTTTGACTAAAATTGCAAATTTTGATGTTTATTTCATCACATTTTATATTTTCAGAGGTGCTTTTTTTAAACAAATTTTACGAGGAAACGAATAAAACCCCTTTAAGAACCTCAAAGTCTGTATAGACGGAGTTATGAGCGATTAAAATTTCCAAATTTTGTCTGACCTCTCCTATTGACTTGATCCACTGTGCGTCAATATGGAGCTGAAATACCTCCCATAGTATTTAATTTACAAAATCAACTAAAAATGGGACTAAGACAGCAAAATAAAACATAGAATAAAAAAAAATGGGACGTTTGACAATACAGCGGTGAGGCTCAGTATAAGTTGGTGTTCTTGTTAATTTTCCTTTTTGTATTTCCAGTTGAAAATACAGGTGTGAGAACTGCGAAACGTCGCGATTTTTATTTTATGTTTTATTTTGCGGCCTTAGTCTTATTTTAAGTTGAGTTTGTATTATCGTTTCGGGCCGGTCAAGTTGATTTTTAGTATTGAATATGCAAAGAAATTTGACGGCAGGAATCCAAAAATATTATTCTACTTTCTTTCCTTGTCTGACACATTATGAACTTACTTTAACATCATTACTAAAATCGAAAAAATTATCAAGTTCTAGTTGTTTGAAGATATCCTCTTCAACTGGGTCCTCTTCCAGCTCAGGAACAAGGCCAGAGAGGTCCGTGCTGGACAGCTCGCCCAGGTTCCCTCCATTTTCCTGGAAAATTAAGAACAGAAACAAATGAGAATCACTCGACAATACTAAGGTTTTTCAAAATTACCATGAAAACAGGTTACATTAATTTTTTTCTGGTCCATACTGTCTATAGTCAAACTTATCTTGAGATAATTGTTCATCAGCTGGAAATTTCATTTTAAATGCATTACGTGCAGTCGTGCAAACCTTTCCTGCGCGAGGGCAAAGTATTTAGAATTGTTTTCCTCGAAACAATAATAATTTAAATTAGCATTTCTTTAAATATTGAGTGCACTCTTCTCTAGTAAGGTTCAGAGAGATCATGAATAATTTTTATGATTTTTTTTTTTTTAAATTACAAGCGTCCTAAAAATGAAACATGAAAATCAATTTTGGGATTTTGCTTGTAAACAGTTGTGCTCAACTAATCGCTGACCAGTTTTAAGAATCATCAGCGGGGAAAGATTGATTTATTTTCAATTTTTAGAAACAACGTAATTTTTGTAACATGTTTTCCTTAAAAGAGGAACAAAAAAATCAACCCAAACTGAACAAGAATGCTTTACAACATTTCAGTATAAACCTATCAAATTTTTCAAAGAAGTACACAGAGTGCCATGTATTTATTACAGTAAGATTCAACCAAGTAGATTTTTTTCAAAGGCATCTTGAAATTTTCATTGAAACTTAATTTTTTTGCAAATTAATGACAACTAAGCTGTACATTTGTACATTGACCAAGAGTGAAGAAAATTAAAATAAGAACCTAGTAATTCAATTAACTTGAAAAAATCAATTCACTTAGATTCTGTCCGTTACATGCATGCTCTTTGTTTCTCGAAATCCAAAACCTAGAATTTAGACCTGTTTGTGCGACTTTTCTGGAAGACAAAATTCTCCCACACAGATGTTTTTAGTGCATGCAATCATTCCACCGTTCAACCATTGACTACTGTGTTAATCTTAAAAGCATTTATAATTGTTTTAGTTGTCATTTAGACGGCTGAATGAAGGATATCATGCAGCAGCTTGTGCAATTTAAGAGGCCGCTATTTACTCGCAAGCCGAAAGCTCATCATATTAACGTTTTGCATTGTAGTCTAATGCCGGGAATTCCACCAACAGCAAACACCCCTCTAAGACGAAAACTGTAATGATAAAAAAGATGCGTTCAGTAGACGGGTTTTCCATTGAAGTAAATGGGGAAACCCGGAAGGAGAAGAGGGAGAGAAAAATGAAGAAAGAACCAGTAGATGTGCCTTGTGCCATGCTTATTAAACATGGTTTTCCCTCGAATTCGGAATTTTGAAAAAGCGTCGAAATTTTTTAATGTTTCCTGAATTGTGCGGCCAGTCGTGGGGGAAAAAAGCAGCCGAAAAATGTGTGCATGTCTCAGTCTTCCGTCGTCTACTGATAATAACCAAAGGTGAAAAACTGTGACATGAAAGCACAACTGGTTTGTTTCAAGGTTTTGTTTTCAGTCACATGATGCTCATAATTTTTTCTTCATCAATTGTTTAGTTACTTTTGAATACATTACAAGGTGCTGAAGTAATTTCAATTGAGATTTCTTGTATTTCATTGGGTCTGCGCAAACGAGAAATCGTCAATCAAAACACAAAGTAATCTATCATTCCAAAAGAAATGCTCATTAGGGATGGTTAATATTCTACTTTCCAAGCGTGAACTTAACATTATCGGCAATTCCGCCCAAAAAACTTGGACTAGGGCAACGCGTCAAAGGCGGTCAGTTTTTATTTCGCATTTACTTACTAGAAAGTTAATGGATTTTTGATAGGGCCAGAACTCGGCCAGAACTGCCTGTCTCGCTTCTTCCATAAGCTCCATCAATTGGGGACAGTTTTTAGTGGCCGAAAAGCACCCGAGTTGATTTATTGCGGCGAGTGCGTCGTTATAAGTTTCAATTTCATCTTGCCCATCCTCATCTGCCGTTGGCATTGTTGTATCAGGATCGGCCTTTGGCTTGAGAGGAAAATCAAATAATGCATTTTACTGTTAATTTTCTCTCCTTCAAACGAAAGTTTTTGACGGGCCAATTTGTAGAGCCCATATCGATGACGTCATGATAACGTGCTATTTTTCTTTAAATTTTCATTTCATCGATCATTCCCTGTAGGAGTAAAGTCTACTAAAGTTTGAAATTATTACACTACAAAACGTCATCTACGACTTTGGGCGTGTTTGAAATTTTGCAACCATCTTGGAGGACACGAACAAAAGAGCAAAAAAACTCTCATTATGATTTATTGATCTTCAGTTATTTTAAGAGGAGGGCTTTTAAAAGCCATTTCAATAATAATGGTCGTGAAATAGTAAACATCATTTTTCTCTAGGAGAGCCTCGCCGTGCGTTCATTTTACGTCTACTTTCATTTTCATCAAGATCCTACTAAAAAATAAATAAAGAAAAAGAATAATCGTAGGTATATCAATTTTAAACTCTGGCCAAATTCTAGTCCTGGTAATATGTATCCACCGCAGTTATGAAGAATGAAATGAAAATTCGCAGTATAGCAAACAATAAAATTAAAACTTTTTCTCATTTATTTTTTAATAGATGCATAACTTAAATTAATATTAAATTAATGTTTATCTGTGTAGGGGTAAAGGATCAGTCGTCTGTTTCGTCATTCAATAGGGAGCTCGTATCTTTTTTTGTCATCCTTTTATACAAAAAAGAAAAACACGGATCCACCCCTGTTGTACAATGCACAAGTAGAGACTTACCAATTCCTGCTTTGTATTAAACTATTACTAACCATTATGTTAAAATCAAGTTTTTATGCAGATACATTTTTCTTCCATTCCAACCTCTTTTATCTGCTTTGGATAATGAAATCATTGTAGGCCTACCGAGTATATTGCATGGTTGCATGGTCACTGCTCTACAAATATATAATCAATTTTTCTTCCTTTTTTTACTTTTAAAGTATTTATCTTACAGATTTTCCGTCTGAGAGAGGTTTGACTGTATTATAGAACCGAAATATACTTTTGAATAGCACGAGATAGTTAAAAATAAAAATGGCGATGTATGAGACTTACGTAAGTACTTTATTGTTATCGTGTTATTTTCTATTATTATCATCATTGAGTCTTATATAATTTGATATATTATTTTGCGATAGCCAATCACCATTCAATGAGGTGTAAGAGCAAGACACACTGCTTCCACTGGACGGTGGTTGGCTATCGCCGTATTAACATCCTCGTCTGCCACAGTTTTTTACTATGTGTGACATTGTCGAACGTACAAAAAACTGAAATTGTTCTCAGAATGAAGTCAAATACCTCAGGGAAGGAATTGGAATACTGTAAAGCAATCATTCCAATTTTAAGGTATTGGAATGAGAATGTATAATAGTTTCGATGTAGCTACTGCGTCGTAACTTTTAAATAATTAAAAATGGGAGGAGAATCTGAGAAAATGCAAATTATAGTTAAGAACATACTGAATGAGACTGGTTGAACGGTGAATTTTTGCATCGGAGAAAAACAGAATTTGGAAGAGATAACAAGTTGAAAATGTAAGCACATTTATACAACGCTTGATTTTATAAATATAGATGTGTAGACGGGGAAATTTGAAAAAGCAGCTTACCTTTCATTGTATCAAAATTTGAAGAAAAAAAGAAAGAAACTTTATATTTACAAATTTTACAGGTAAAGATTCAGTAGATCATACAATACAACAAATTTTATTAGAGCAACGGAATCTTCTGATAAAATAATACGTGGCCAAGTAAATGTTATAAAAGATTTTTATTGATTAGTGTACCACTTAAAAGTAACTCTCATTGCAAAATGCATTTAACAAATTTATAATAAGGACGAAAACCCGTATGGATTGTTGTAGAATTAAACCACATTACTTTCTGTCAAACGCTTTTTGTGCACCGTCAAAACGCCTTCAACTTAATGCGATGCGATTTGCAGTACACAACGTAAAACTCCTTCAATTTCATTCGATACGATTTACGATACTCCATCCTTACTTTCCGCACAAAGCATGATGTCAGTCGTGGGCATCCTGGTGCACTAAAATATTTGGGACTTCTAAAATATATCAGCTTGCATCGAAGCTTAAAAATTAAAGAGTTAAAATATTTTCGGTTTATTCTCACGCTCGTGCAAGAAAAATGCAGAATAGAGGAAAACTGAGAGGAAGGTAAAAATTATCCGATTGTCTGAAGCTTGTATGATCAGAGGTGAAAAAGATTAATGGTTTTTTTCCGGATCACGAGAAAAAGGCCTTGCAAAATTTGAGGCATACTTTTTTCCTGATGTGAAACCAATCTGTAATTGAAATTGAAAAAAAGAAAGAAGCCTTAGCTCTTTACACAGCACAGGTGGATTGAGTATTTATCGGCTAGTTATGGAAAATTCTCCTTTGTAACTTCTATTCTGCATTCTTAAGAGCATGTGATAAAAATTGCTCCACCATTAAAAATAATAAAAAAAAATTAATCAATATTTGATTCCATGAATTCGTCAGAAAATTCATTTTAGTGTCAAAAGAAAGGAGCTTTACGCGAGTGAGGAAGGGATATGTATCATGAATGGAGAGGAAGCTAGTAACTAATTAATCCACGCATGAGACAGTAATGACTCACCAGACAAACGGAGAGGTCGACCATTTTCTCATCATTGTCAGCACACCACAGGAGGTCATCTTCAATCGCAAAGGGCATCGCAGAGTTTGACCCCGGGGGGCCTGGCTTCAAGAATGCCAGCGTCACACTCTAACTTTCCGTAAAGTTCTGAAAACAAACGGATATAAAATCGATGAGCTCATCGTTGGCAATGGACAAGTGATTTTGCGTCGTAAACAGTAGTCATTGGATTTCAATTTTCACAGACAGGTAATGTTCATCCTGCTGTTGTAGTCTACAGTGGCGCAGCGAGGGTGGTGGTGGGGTCAGTGGCGTGGCGTGCTTTATGCGATATATCGATTGTTATGCCATTTAAACCTATGGTAAAGAATCGATTATTAAGGTGTTCGCTGCGGACACCCTGTTTATCGATCCTTTTCCATAGGTTTAAATGGCATAACAATCGATATATCGCAAAGCACGCCACGCCACTGGTGGTGGGGTGTCTAAGGGTCTAGACTCCGTGACTGGAAAATTTCCCTGCAGAAAACGTCATTCTTTCGTAATTTTTCCCCTTCGATCCTTCTTTCCCCGAAAAATCAGTAACCAATGAAACAGTAAGTAACATCTGTCTGGTGTATTATTAAATAAGGGCAACTACTCTATGTAGTTGTAGGGTAATAATAAATATCCTCACTTACTTGAGGAAAATTTCATTGAAGACAACCTCAATTAAAAAGTGGATCGCATCTGCAAAATGTTATACGTGTTGTTAATTGAGCCGTAATTATTACTTTTCTCGTTGTTCATACTGATCATGCCATGACTGCAGTTTCAGTCTCAAGGATTTTCCAGCGAGGAAGAAAATTCAAAACTGTTTACGCATAGCAGAAAGAAGGGGATTTTCGCCTACGAAAGCCAAATCATGGATATCGTCACATCAAAGCTCAATAAAAATTGGAAACTGATTTTTTTTCTATGATTATCTTTTAATTCAGTCGAAAGCCTGACATTTTGTTTTTCTCTGAACACATCATAGGTAATTGCTAAAAACTACGGTATATCGAAAATACTGAAGCTTTCAACTTTTATAACAATCAGCAAACATCTGAAACGATCGACAAAATCGAGTATGGCATCAATGCAAGCCAGGAATTAGGCGTTCTGCTTGAACTTGACCCATAAACATGAAACCGGCTGGGGAGGCAGATGGAGAGGGAGAGGGGGATAATTTGAATCACACTCGAATTGGAAAAGTGCAGCGTTAATTAACAATAATGTCCATTAACTGCAATTTTAACGCTCTGCTACGTAATCCGAAAAGCCAAGCGTGCTGACTGCATGCTTTCAATGCACTCAAAATAGACGTTAAAACAAATAAAACGGTGCGAGATTGAAGCGCTGCTGCCAAAGCTTAAATAAAAATGTCGGTGTATTTTTTGTGCAGTTTTTCCGATTACAATTTCCTTGCGAAGGTGCAGGAAATTTGCTTACTTTGTTATTTTATTTGCTGGGATGAATTTGAATTGACACCAATGGATCATATTCGATAGTAGTTCGATGTATCGTTTGGTTCAAAACAATAGTACGTACCATAAAACAAAAATTTTTGGATTTAAATTGGAAAAGCTGAAAATGAGAATATTCCGAAAAATTTCACTTTTGATTGATATTTGGTACTCGAAAGAACAAAAAATCAATTACCTGAGACACGTTCTCTCATAGATTACTCAATTGACTTTTGAGACCATGTTCACATGTTGAACCAATCGATATCGATACAATCTCACCTGTTTGATTTATTGAATACGATCTATAAAAAAGTATCAAGAATCATTCACTGAAAAAAAAGTATGGTAATATCTACTATAAGTCACCTTGGTTGTTTCTACAGTGATCTTATTTAGTGAAGACAACTAGAATTATAGTAGTACTCACTAGAACTCGGCCAATTCCAACGATAATATGGTAAATGCTACCATAAAGTCTAGTGTTTACTACCATACTCGGATCTCTGTGTCAGAGTATGGTAAAATATACCATATATTATTTCAGTGTTACCCTGTCAAAAGGTATCACCCGCGGATGATGGGAGTGCAACACAGCTGGCAATAAATTATCATTTCTGATGATAGATTTTGCAGCAATGAGCTTTATTTTTGAGACCTTCTGCGCTTATCAACAAGTCCAAAATTACTCGACTTCGAGCACTCAAACATTTTTGCGAGGTGGCAATACTTCCATCATCCCCGGTTTTTTTTCCATAGAAGTATGCAGAATATAGGGATTTGTCATGAAAATCTGACAACACGGACACTCTGTTTGATTGAGTTGCTATGTTTGATCGGCAAAGCGGAGGGGGAGGAGATAGAGTGAAAAATCATGCATCTTGAGAGTATCAATTGGACGTATTTCTGCTAAACGGAACTATGTGCATTAAGAATTGAGCCCCAAGACCCATAAAAATATATGCATAACAGGGCTCACGTCATGATGCACATAGTTCCGTTTGGCAGAGATGCGTCCAATTTTTAATAAAAATAAACAATCTACGAGAGACGATATACCTAAGTTTTATCTCCGAGTGCCAATTACTATCAAGGATGCGACCTAGAAGAAATGACGAGCCCAGTTCTTTTCATTTTTTCAAAATCAAGTCGAAGACGATTACGTGTCGGGTTATTTGCGCGCTGTCGGAAGTAGGTAATACTTGGATGCGCAGTCGGATCTGAGTGTTTGCGGCACGAAAGGAATTTTTTTTGCAAGGTTGAAGATTGAAATGAAGCCGAGGAGGGGAGCTAATAAAGATAGAATGCTCAGAGAATAAACTATTATCTCCTCTCATTATCAACCATTTCTTTTAAAGTTTCTAGTTTAACTCAACGTATACTTGAACTAAAATTAAGAAACAAGCCCAAGTGGACGTGTTTCTATTCTACCAAACGAAACCGGCGGCAGGTGGGAAACACCGAAAAAAAAATATGGTATATTTTATCATACTCTGACACAGTAATACGAGTATAGTAATATACACCAGACTCTATGGTAGTGTTTACCTTATTATGGTGAATATCACCCAAGTTCTAGTAAATACTACCATAATTCTGGTTATTTTCACGAAATAGTATCACTATAAAAAATCAAGTAGACTTAAAGTACTTAAAGCACGCCCACTTTTACATTGTTCCTTATGCAGCTTTCTAGAGCACACCCCATATTTCCCGCCCGTCTCTACTCCCGTTTAGCGAAATAACGTCCAAATAAAAGCGTCAAGCTTTTTTTTTTTTTCCCCCACAATCTTCAAGTAGCTTCATGGCTAATCTCGCACTTTTTTCACCGTTTCTCATGGAGAATCTCAAATTCCCCCGTCTCGATTCTCAAAATGTTGTCTTACGCCCTTCAGTCTTTTTCCTATCGATCGAAAAAACAGCAGAATTTTGCACTGGTACATACCTGGAAATATCACGGTATTTCTGGAACTTGAGCCACCTCATGAACGATATTTTGATCACACCGCCTGAAACAAAGAAAAGAAAAAATTAGAACAAATTTGAACGTAAAAAAAAATGAAGCCATGAAAAAGTAATCCACAAAGCAGAGAGAACGAAAAGACACGAAAGGATTGGAAGAAATATTTTGACTTGAAGACCCTATTGCGTCATCGCTTCACGACGCGTCGTTTTGAAAATCGCGCCAGTAGCCTCCTCAACACACATCGGAGCCGGTGAGCCAAATTTGGAGGTTATGTTATTGTTATTGTGATACTGGAATGATAAGGTAGCGTGAATTCGTAGTGCTTTCATTTGTGGTTTAATAGTTTTAATGTTTACGTGAAATGTCGGGAAGGAAAAATGAAGAGGATAAAACAGATTTCACCTCGCCGAAATTCAATGCGCTTACAGCTCTATATTCGCGAAATGTGCGGCTGCCAAACCCGAGAGCTCCCGCCCTGGATAATATGTCAAGATTTTTACCTTCAACCTCAGGGGTCATGATAAGGCCACCGCCTGTAAGTAAATTCTGTTTTGCCCCTAGAATGTCTCAAAATAAATACCTAAGGTGTAAGTTTCTTCAGACCATGCAATGTTTGATTTTACGCTTGTGCTGGTATGTTTTCATCCGTCAGACAAAGTTCTCGGGCTTTCATTTCGTCTCGGTTGTTTGAAGCACAGTTTATTCTTTCAAATGCCTTTGTCACACTTGCATTCTGCTTGACACTCATAGGGCAAATGGACAGTCGTCAGTTTCCCAATGCTGACAGTGCAGTTTGCGCCATTGCGCACTCCCTCAGAATGTACATTCGGAATGTAGGTGTGATAGCGGTTAAACAGTTTCTTTGCATGACAGTCCATATGTATCACATGGCGATCCTCATATAATTAGCAAATTTGGCTAGGTATATGAACAAGACTGCATTTTCTGTGAGAAAAGACTTTTTCTTTTTTTCTTGTATATAGTCAGATTCTGAAGTTTCACTGAAACAGCTTCGGTGATTCGGGCTAACATTGAACTGGAATACCTCTCTACTTGACATGAAGATCAGGGATTAATTGAAGCTTACTATGCTCTAAGTCTCTATTACGTATGAGGGGTATGCTTGAATTAAATGGGAACCAAATTTTACATGACACTAACATAGCTAAACCCTAAATGTAGACAGAAGAATCTCCAGAATTCAAACACTTGATTGGACGTATAGGGGATAAATCATAATATGTTTCATCTGCAAACAGAGGTGCATGAGGAAGAGCTGCAATTGATCAGTTCTACATTTTCTTGATTTCAGGTGAAGAAAAAAACTGAAGCTCCGCCAGAGAATCCTGAAAATGCTCCATCCACTAGCTCAGCGTTACCTGCCAGGAGGTTCCTTCCGCATCAAAGTAAGACCTCTCTTTGCGTTTCATAACTTGGCCCAAGAAATTAAACTGTGGCAAAGTATGAGTTACAGGGTTGAAGGCTGCCTCTGTTTTGGCGTTATTTTTACTTAGTTTTCAGAAGTTTCTACGGAGTAGGCCTTTACGGCCCATCCACGACCAATAAATGCCTTTAAAGCAAGTTACATTTGAGTCAAGGGGTTGCGAATAATGTTCAGGCTACAACAAAGTGAAAACAAAAGTCGTAGTTGGAGTTACAAACCATGTAGTACCCTTTTACTTTAAAGCAAAAAAATGGTAGTCTGTAATTCGCTGGTGGTTTCTGCAAAGTCTCAGGTCTGTACCCAAGTTTTTTTTTTTTTTTTTTTTTTTTTTTTTTTTTTTGGGGGCCATATTTTTTTTTCTTGTTATGATAAAAACTAAAAAACGAAGGTCTTTTTAATTTAAATGCTCAAGTTGATAGGGCCCATTTCAGACAGCTTTGTCTCTTTCGTTGTATATGCGGCGTAGGGAATTCTCTACCCGCGCATCCAGCGAAATTGAATGAACCAACTCCTTATGCGGAGGGCCGCGCCGTAGAGTGGCGTGACCTGGCGGTTAGTACACACACCGATAGTTGAAAGTCTCCACGGAAGAGAGCGCTACAGTCGCGCAGTTGCTACGGCCCGGCTGATTCTTGGCGGGCAATAATCAGCTCACAATCAGGAGGTGCAATCATGAGCCAGGTGAGGAGAAGGAGGCTGGTGCTGGCCAAGCGAGGTGCAGGAAGGTCAAGTGAACGTCCTCGACTTGCGATGCTGTTCCTCTTCCGGGCCTTTCTGTTTCACTCACTCCAGCCCCCCCCCCTTCAGCCCCCCGCACCCGCTCCGGTCCGGTTCTCGTACTTTTTCCGCATGAAAATCTGATAGAATTTAAGATTAATTCCCCTTAAGGTGCCCTGCCGATTTTTTTGCGTCGTTAATTATTTTTTTCTTCGCTTGCGAATGATGGTGGTTTTCTACGACTGCCCTGTCCCTCTCTGTAAATGCGCCAGTAGATGAGTTGGGCCCTCCCTGCCTTCCCGCCCCTGCTCAGGAGGTAGTTTTTCTGTTTTCGGAGAAAGTGCAAATCATACAGAGCACGAATACAGGCAGATTTCGTCGTGTATTTTTTGATGATATGATCTACCTAGTGTTAAGAAACTGTGTAAGCAAGTAAAGTGGGTCAAGTTTTTTCTCTCTTTACTCTTTTACCAGTGATGGAACCAATATTTCAGGCTCTCGTATCCAAGTGAAGCGGAATATTATTCTGCTCTTTTTCTCCATCAAAAAATTAATTGAAATAACACGATTTTCCGCTTCAAATTCATTTCGCCAGTTTCCATTACCTACCCCCGTTGGAAGTGGAATCATCTGAAAATATCCTGTAGTACTTCATCTAGGTACCTCAGTTAACAGAGAAAAAGCATTGCAAACAAAATCACGCGATATAACCAACTGAGATGCCTTTTTGAAGTATGAACTGGGTATTGTAATATTGCGCGGAGCGTAAAACAATAGAAGGATATACTAAGTTGGGTTTGAACCCAACATGCAACTATTTTAACTCTGCGGTGGGCCAGGTTGCATACCCTCGATTTAGCGGGCGAAATCTGAGATCAGCGCACGGCTTTCACGATAGGGTGCGAATGCAATTAATGCCCTCTGCGAGCGTGACGTCTATTCTGCCGTGCTAAGGAAAAACGCCGTATGAACCTTCAGGCGTTGCCAAATGGACGTATTTATACGAAAGGGAACTAAGCGCCAAATTTCCAAATTTCAGTTTTTAACGGATCTGGATTCTCCATGTAATAGGCTGCTCTCACACGTAAATATGCCCCCAAAATACTAATTTCATCCCCTGGAATCAGCCCCTGAAAAATCGCAAAACAGGGAATCAGCGATTACGAATAAAATCAAAAGGAACTATATGTAATTCCCTTNGTCCAAATTTCCAATTGTGAAACACGAATTTCCTGGTATAAACTTATGAATATTTTTCTTGTAATTTTTCAGATATTATCGTTTGCAAGTTCACCATAAGTTCCTGAAAATTTCAAGGAAAAATATTCTTAAATTTTCTCAAAAATACACATTATATTGAAGGAAATTTGGCAACTCTCGAATGTTCATACGTCGTTCTTCCTTAGCATGGCAGTATTTTGGTGGACTATTTTTCGCTTCTGTCGCACAAATTAGTGACGTAATACTAACAAACTATGGGATACTTTCCGAGAGACGAACTCGGATTTTTTGAATAATGCACTGATAGTGAGCGCAGAACCGTGAAAGAATAAACGGAGTTTAGTTTGGACACGACGTGAAGTTATTTTGCTCGAGGAAAACACTGATCGCACCTCTATCCTATCGCGAAAGCCGTACATGGCAAGCCGCAAGCGCGCGCAGGCCGTGAGCATATCTCAAGTCGCCCGTAAAACCGAGCGTATGCAACCCGGCCCACCGCAGAGTTAATATAGTTGCATGTTGGGTTCGAACCCAACTTCGCATATTCTTCCATTGTTCTTCGCGTTGTTTTGAAGTTGGAAGAGCTTCCCGTTATCTATGAACTGAGAGAAGGCTTAGGTTTTATCGAAATGCTAACTATAAACATTATTTCTACATTATCATTTATATCTACACTACTGATATCAATTATTAAAATGTGAATCTCAGATTGCGACGTCGCAAATCTCCGCTCATGATTTACTTGTTCAAAAGAAAAGTGACTATCAGCTTATTTAAAGTTTTCAATGTATTCCTCTCTTATTTATAGCTATTGATCAAGTTCTTTCAATTCTCATCTTCGGTAGGTTTTTTTTTTTTTTTGTTTTTTTTGTTTTGTTTTTTTTTTAATTTATTTTTTTTTAAATATATCTATAAAAAATCCATCATCCGATGTTTTAAATGTTGCAATGAAGGGACGAATTTTTCGACTTTAGTTATCGATGTATCTTTTTTCTATAAAAAGTCCCGGAAGTAAATTACTCCTCGTTATTCTCAATTCTCCTGTACCAGAGAGAGAGGGCAGTCTTGTCACACGTTGGCCATCTCACCAGCAAACGACAGCAAAACCAGTGAATTCGGAACGTTTAAGGCAACCTTGGCCTTCTGCCAAGTGGCGCACCGAACTGAACATCGCGGTAATGGTCGGTGCTTCCTTGTTTGACTAATCTACTGAATTTTAAGTTGGTTTTTTCTCGAGAATGCATCTGCAAATGTTACCTCGTAGCAACCTTGCCAATTTCACGAATAGCTCTGAAAATTCAGCAGGAAAAACTGGCGCGGCAATTTAAAATAACTGAAGTTTTCTCACAAAAATTGACGGAGCGCAGCATCTGTCCACGGGGTTTGGAAATGTTCTGAAAATGTTGGAATGTTTAGAAATGTTCTGAATTACGGTTTTTCAACGGTGAAATTAACGTTTTACTCCGTTGGCATGACCTGCCCACATTTTTTTTTGCAACTTCCAAGTGAAAAAAAAGTTGCTGAAAGTTGACTGATTTCTTAAGTTTTATTAACGTTAAGCTTGCAGAGGTAGCTAAAAAAGGAAGAGAGGAAACTAGTTCTGTATACTGCCGTACTAAGGAAGAACGCCGTATGAACCTTAAGGCATTGCCAAATTTCCTCTGGTAAAGCACTAATTTTCAGGTATAGTTTTGAATATTTTTCTATTCCTAAAAGTAAACATTTTATCGAGGAAAATTTGGCAACTCTCGAATGTTCATACGGCGTTCTTCCTTAGCACGGCAGTAAGAGCTGATCGCTACGTACTTTTTTTTCACTGGTATACATTCGGATGCCCAGGGATGAAACGTAGTTTGAACATGAGAGGTTTTGTTGTCGTATACAGCAATCGGAATTTTGAGTCTTGTGAAATCGAATTTCTTTTGCTCACTGGTTTTCTTCTTTGTGTGGAGGATATCCGATTTTTTATCCTCCTCAGTTGATTGTGCGACGGAGATTAGTTTTCGTGGAAGAAACGTCAACATGACGCGGAGGCTTGGCGGGGAAAGTTCGCATCAGGAAATTTACGATACGAGAGCAGGCGGCAAAACAAAACTTAATGGAAGGAATTAAATAAAATAAAGAAATAAAACCGAGCCAGACGTGGCAAGAGCAATGACCCAAGCGCAATCTCCAAGCGATTGGAGCTCTGCTGTTGCCAGCCTTGTTCAGCCTTGCGCCCGAAACATTGTACAAAAAAAACGGCTATGTTTTCTAAAGTCAAATAGGTATTAACAGGGTTCCCACCAGTGGCGTGGCGTGTTTTACGATATATCGATTGTTATCCCATTTAAACGTATGGAAAATGCTCGATAATAAGGGTGTTCGCAGCTCGATAATAAGGGTGTTCGCAGCGAACACCTTAATAATCGATTGTTTACCAAATGGCAGAGCAATCGATATATCGCAAAGCACGCCACGCCACTGGTTAGGGAATGCCGGGAAACCTGGGAACCTTCAGGGAATTTTAGAAAGTCAGGAAAAACCGGGAAATGTCGGGAAAAATGACGAAAATGTCTGGAAAAAATTATCAAGGCACCTTTAATTGCATTCTAGAATGGGTTTGACGTATCAGACGACAAATTTTGTCTGAAAATTATTTATAATTATGTCTTTTTAGCCATCCGGCTTATCCTCAATTGTCAGGGAATTCCACCAAAATTTTTTAGGGGAATCAGGGAATTTCATTTTCAAAATTCTGTGGCAACTCTGTATTGAGTGCAAAAATTACTGTGATCATCGACTAACTTGCGGTTTCTACCAACTAAGTACGGGACTTAAAATTAAAATCATCCTCCCTCATAACCAAAAAAAAAGCTTCATCGAGTTGAGTCTCGTCTTCATTAACTTGCTCAAATACCAAGACAGAAACAGGGGTATAAGGGATTTTTAAAGTTCCTCGCTGATGAAAATCAGCGCGATTCTTGCTTTGCAACTCTTTTAAGTTTTTTGATCACGTGAATTTTCCGACTGGGTGTCACCACT